TTCTTCATCTCATTCTTTATTTACATGGTATGTGACTGCCTCTACATGAAGTTGAGTTTAAGAGGGGTTTGGATTTCAACAGTGTTTAGAACAGTGGTTCTCAACCTTCCTAATGCCATGACCCTTTAATACAGTTCCTCATGTTGTGGTGACCCCCAACCATAACATTATTTTTGTTGCTACTTCATAACTGTAATTTTGCTACTGTTATGAATCGTAATGTAAATATCTGATATGCAGGACGTATTTAGGCGACCCCTGTGAAAGGGTTGTTCGACCCCTAAAGGGGTCGCGACCCACAGGTTGAGAACCGCTGGTTTAGAACATTCCTTTAAGCTGTACAGTCTATGGAGTTTGTGGTAATTAAGTGTAGTAATAATTATTGTTTTAAAATACAATCACTAAAAGGTCTATGCCAGTTATGTTTTATACATAATATACTCTCTGTTTTTTTATCTTACAGAATTTGTGTTTCCCGTGTCCATTACTTATTTTTTTATATCCTCTGTTCTAATATGAGGGATTTTTTTCTATCTTGTGATCTTAAATAAGAAAGCAAGTGCACAAGCAAAAGATATTTAATATGTAAAAGAAACTCTGAAAACCACAATTTCAATATAGATAGGTCAAAGAAGACAGCAGAGTATTGGGGAAAAAGCAAAAGAAAAACTCTCTGTAAATGGGTAACTAATAGTTACTGATAGTCACATTAAATGGTATCATTTCCAAATGATGTCAGCACAGTACCTCTTTTAATTCAAGCCTTTTTCTACTCCATGAAAAACAGGAGAGGATAAAAATAATGGGACTATAATACCCATTAAATGAGAAAATTATATAAGGGACTTAAAAAAATCAACCAAGTATTTAACCTTTTTTTTTTTTTTTTTTTTTTTTAGAGAATAGGTAAAATAGCCCTGGCTGGTGTGACTCAGTTGATTGGTATTGTCCATGCACCGAAAGTTGCCAATTTGATTCCCAGTCAGGGTACATGCCCAGGTTGCAGGCTCAATCCCTGGTAGGAGATGTGCAGGAGGCAGCTGGTAGATGTTTTGCTCTCACATCGATGTTTTCTCTCTCTCCCCCTCTGCCTTCCTCTCTGTCTAAAAATCAATTTTTAAATCTTTTAAAAAGAAACAGGTAAAATACCATTATATTCATCTATGATATGTAGTGCCACACAAAAGATGAAATGTAATTCCAAATATGAACTTGTGAAAAGTAAATTGCTAATTATATTCATGGTAGGTCTTTCCTTTCATTATTTTTCTCTTTTCATACTTTCAGTTTTTCAGTATTATAGTGTGTGGGGTTTTTTTCCACATCCTACTTTATTTTCCAATTCTGTTTCCATTGGTCCTATTTCTCTTACCACTGAGCTCTTCCGTTGGATATTTTCATTCATATCTTCTTTTTTACTAAACATTTACCAATACATGATCCAACTCTAAAGTTGAATTGGTTAAGTCAAAATTTGTAATGTACCAAAATGTTCAAATTTAACTTTAAAGGCATGTATATTGATACCAAGATTGGATATTTCTGCTAAATAACATAGGAATATATATGTCACAGTAAAGCCAATCTTCTACAAGTCTCTATATCATATACTTATTCTTAAACTGATAACAATTCTTACTTTTGGATTTAAAGGCAAAAATAATACACATATACAAAAGACAACCTAAGGGCTTTATTAAAATATGTGTTTAATGAACATATGTCAGTTTGGCTCTTATATGTTTAAGAAACAGTTCTCAGGCATTTTTTTTTTATATATTAAGTAAAGGGCTATTCAAAATCTTAATGCAGGTGGTCTTTAATCTATGGCTCATGCACAAAACTATATTTAAATGCAACTGCTTTTCTTTAATACTGATTTGTATTATTTTATGCATTTAAAAACATTAGCCTGAGAGGGGTTTGTAGGACAAACCAGACTGCCAAAGAACCCCTTATCACAAAACAAGGTTTAGAATTGCTGATTCTTATATATTTATGAGAAAGTTTACTACAATAAAAATGTATCAGAATATAGTTATTTGTTTATTGCATGCATAATAATGTTAATATTGAAACTATATGTTTCAATTTAATTACTCGCCATTTTCAAACTTAGAAACCCTCTAAAGCTCAATATATAATTAAAAACTTAGCAGAAATAAGTATATTATATGAATACTATATTTCATAAATTATAATATGGATGTGGATATAAACTAAAATTCATAGTCCAAAAGGTAAATGTAGCTTTTAAATTAAAGATACTCCACTCAACAGGGTGTATTTAATATTTGATATTATAGTCACTTCCTCTATTTCTAATCAAAATAAAAGATGAGGATTCCCTGTTTAAAAGGATATATTTTGCAGAGAAAGTCCAATGTATCAGATAATTAAGATTTTATCTTGTTTGTCTCCTCCTTTAGTTAGCATATAAAACTGGCTTAAAAGTAGATTTCCTCTTGTAACTCAATTTAGTAAAGAAATTACATGGACTAATGACAATGTATTGAACAATGACTGCACTAATTCAATTTTGGCCTAAGAAACAGAGATACAATAGGGGAAAATGTGGGGGAGGGAGGAAGATTGGTACCACAAATACTATCTTCCAGGGAGCATAAATCAGGGTAAGTTAGGAATTTCCTTAAAGTGTCCTGGTCTCAGAATTTATTTGGTAGTCATAAAGAGATATTTGTGGCAGTTAAGATATATTTAGAATTTCATTTATTTTGCTTTAGCCTAGTTTCAAATGTTTAACCAATTTATTGAGCTTGTCTATTTACTGTAAATTGCATCCATAGGAAGCTAATCTTTAATTAAGATTAATTAATTTAAATGTTCAATTAAATTTCTTATGATTATTAAGTTTTTACTAGTAAACATCATGTTTAAGAGAATTAGTCTAATTTTAAAAGCTATATAATATGTAAAGTGCACGCATAGGAACAATAGAATATATGCAAAAAAGAGTGTTGAAATAGTTATCTCTGAGTAATAATTTTTTAAATTTTTCTTTCTTGTGAATTCCTATAATTCTAAATTTCCAAAATGTATATTGTTTTTAATCATGAGAAAAAAATACAATAAATGTTATTTGTGTGTGTGCTTGTATGACTTTTATTTTATGTATCACTGTTACTATTAGAATGCTTTCTGCTATAAGTAATAGAAATGTCAGACTAGAAGTGGCTTTTTTTTTTCATTCATTTTACAGGAAATCCAGAAGTAAGCATGTAGAGTTGGTAATTCAGAGCTTTGAGTAATTTTTTTTTATTGTTTCTACTAGGCTTTACTTTAGTGATTAGAAGTTAGTTGTTGCCAATTGGGAGCCTCAAAGGCAGAAAGAAAGGGTGGCTTCTTATTATGCATCTCACTTTCCCAGAACCTCAGCACTTCCTCCTAAATTGGCTATAATTGTAACACATGTTACAATAACTAATAACTTGCAAAGGAGAAGGGGATTACCCTAAACAGCTTAAAGGTATGCTTTATCTTGTGGAGGTAGTGTTCAATTTCCTTGAACATTTAGCCATCTGATAACTGAAAATAATTGTATTTCTTTTTTTTAGAGAGAGAGAGAGAGAGAGAAAGCAGAAGGGAAATGTTTTGGGGTCAGAAGCCAGCAGTAGCTGCCACAATCACCAATTAACTTCTCAAAATAAACTGAGACGATATATACCACAAAGTTTAAATAGCACATAATTTAAATACAAGCATAAAGACTAAATACAGTTCTTGGAATATAGTAATTGTACAATCAATGTAGCTGTAAGGGAAAAGAACAGATTTGGTTTTGTTTTTTTTACAATCTAAATCTAAACATTTTAAACTCTAGTAGTTGGAATCTTCACTCAATGAATAGAGGGTAACTTCTGCCCGATTATTGACTTTTTTGGAAACTCTTGGTCTCTGTCTTTCGTCTATTTTATAATTAGCTCATTGGGTAAGAAAATTATATCACTCTTTACAATTCTATTATTTCAAATTTAGAGAATAACTGTCCAATCTCTATATATAAAAGGCTAAGTGACCGTTATGACCAGAACGACCGGTCGACCAGTCACTGTGAAGTGCACTGACCACCAGGGGGCAGACGCTCAACAGAGGAGCTGTCCTCTGGTGGCCAGTGCGCTCCCACAGCCAACCTCCCATGACCGGCCAACCTCCCATGGTCAGTCCCCCTGGCCAGCAGGATCACCGGCCAGGCCTAGGGTCCCCACCTGTGCACGAATTTGTGCACTGGGCCTCTAGTAAACTAATAATTAAATACTCGTGTGTGTGTGTGTGTGTGTGTGTGTGTGTGTACATTGATAGCACAGGGGCAACATAAATGAAGGAAAGGAGAGAGTGAATCTTTGAGAGATCTGACTGGAGAAGGGAATTAAGCTGGGAAACCACAAAATTAAGCCAACATCGTGTGTAACACTACACACACACACACACATACACACACACACACACACACACGAAAAGAAAAAACAGAAAAGGGAGCTCTCTATTAAGTACTTAAATCAAACAATAAAATGTACTTAACTGTTCCTAATGAAGTTTGGAAAATTTTGCTGAGACACATGAGAAAGGAAAAATGAATTTGGACTAAGAAAATTAAAATCTCCTTTGCCATTTATCAGATATAGATAACAGACAAAGAAGCCAGCTGTAAAGTTAACAGAAAATAATATTTCTTTCAAGAACATGCTATAGTGTTAACAACCACCCCCCAACTTGGAGAAACTATTGCTTTTTCACTTACAGATAACCCTTTTCTATATAATAATGGATTGTTGAAAAAAAACTTGCTCTTTGAAATCCTTTCATTAAGAATGAAATATCCCACTCTTGGCTAGAAAATCTAAGTCACTTTGACACAAAGAAACAGCCTCTACTTCCAACCCATGGGCAGTCAGAAAAGGGGTTTGTAGAAACAATATGTTTCTGGACTAAAGGGGTCTGTTTGCCTGCCCGCATCAAAGCCAGAGAAGACACAAACAAGATTTGTAGCAAAGAAAGTAAGGGTTTATTTTAAGTGGCCCATATCCAGAGTCACAGGTCAGCTAATTCTCAAAGACCTGGCTCCCGATGGCATCACGGAATGGGTTAATCAGACGATAAGTCATTAATTTTGGTGACTAGGAGAGTTAGGGTCAAGTTTCCACTGATTGGTCATTGCTAGGGTAGGGGGTATTTGATCAGTGCATCTAGTCCTAATGTCAGTCATAGCATTGCTTTATCTGTTTTCTCTAGGATGTGGTCAGTGGGATTGTTCTGGAGCTGAAACACAGCTGAGGCCTACATGTTATCTCTATTTTGACCAAAAATCCATCTCTGGGTTCAACAGACCTGAGGCTTTGTTCCTAAGATTACTTGATGTTGGTCAGAATCTCATTGTCCTGGGGGCTTAATGATTTAGGGAGTAGTCCTGCAAGAGAGAAGGAGGCAGGTGAATCAGGGTACTGGATTAAGCCAGTTCAAAAGAAAGGAGAAAGATAATATTAAACAAATGAAGTTTCTACTGAATTGCAAATACACACCTATTTAAACTTTTTAGTTTTCAATAAAACAGCACCCTGGGTCCATGTTGCAGTCCAGATGTAATGTAGACCCCTTTACATACAGCCTTGCTTTCTTGTGAACCTATCAAAACATTTTCAAACTTCATTTCAATTTCTCCTAAACTCAACACTACCCAAAATTCCTATAATAAACTTATCTTTCCCTATGTTTGGTAAGGCACTTCATGGTTCTTCTGGAATATGGGCTTCCTCCTTGTAATGGGCCAGAAACCTGACTTTCTTGAAATATACCAGTAGTTTTATTCCCCATAGGCCTAAGCTTATTGGACTAGGAAGTCTGCCTCACGCTAAAAGTTCAGGAAATTCCTTTTAATTTCACATAAAAATGAGCAACAAAAAAAGTCCCATGCAAAGTTATTATAAGAAAAACAAGAATAAGGAGCATAACATCATCATTACAGGTAATGCAAGCATGCCTGAAAGATGTACCACCAAATAGATCAAACCTTAAGTTACTGTTTTGAAACCACCTAAATAAGATTAAGAAAATCATACAAAATATAAAAAAACAACATAGATTTAGAATTAGAAAATCTCAGTTAATTAACTCAATGGGAAGATCCTTTAACAGTGTATACATATATCAAATCATCACATTGTACACTTTAAATATCTTTGTTTTGTCAATTACACCATAAGAAAACTGGGAGAGGGGTTAGAAAGATTCAAAAATGAGGTGACAGAAAATCAGGAAAATTAGTTACAAAGAATAAACTAAAAGGAACACAAAGCTAATAAGCACAAAAGATTGATTTTTTTTTCTGTAAAACTCTGCACCAAAACTTAGGTCGATGCTTCTCCAGTCATTTTGGTTGTCTGACGCTTTCTCCACTAATTCTTTAGGAAGGACTCATAGGAACAATGGTCTCATTAAATGTTGATGTCATATCAAGTGTTGATAATAGCTTATACCCTTTGTACATGAGGGTTGGTTTTGCTGGATATTAAGTCCTTGACCACACTTTTTCCCCTTGAATATCCTAAATGTCATTTTATTTTCTTCTGGCAAAAAAGATTCATTGTCAAAGTCTGATGATATTTCAATTTTCTTTTCCATTTTGATGTCACATTTAATGTGACAAAACATTAAAATCTCTTAAATCTGGGTATCTGGTATACTGTATGTTTGAAATAATTTACACTATATTTCACCAAATCAAAGATGACTTCAATTATAAGAGCACCATTGTTTTCTGTATTTTTAAAAAAGAAAAAACACATTCTAATTTCAGGGATGTTAACATGTCAAGAAATGTGGGTGTTAGGTGAAATATACTATATTATGTTTCTAAATACAAAAACCATAAACCATAAATTTATTAGTTCAGAGTTCTGCAGGTCAAAACTGGGGGCACAGCATAGCTGGGTTCTCTGCCCGAAGTCTTCCAAGGTTGAAATCAAGGTATCAGCTGTGTTTTGGTCTGAAGCTTAGGGGTTTTCTTCCAAGCTCACATAGGTTATTGACCAAATTTCGTTCCTTGCAATGAAATAGGCCGTTATCCCCATTTTCTTCTTGGCTGTTAGCTGGAAGCCACTCTCAGGAATTAGAGGCCATTCCCATTTGTTTCTAGGTGGCCCCTTTCCTCTTCAAAGCCAGCAAAGTAGAATCTCTCTCACATCAAGTTGCCCCTCACACTTTGAATCTCTTTCTTCAGGAAAAGCTCAGCCCCTTTTTAAAGGTAGACAGGCAATATATAAGTAAACAAATACATATACACCAGAAAGTGATAAATGCTAAAAATAAATAAAATAAAATAAAATAAAAAGTTTATGCTTGCATTTCCCTCTGTCTAGAATATTCTTCTGCTAGAATATCTGGCAGGGCTCACATACATTAGATTTGGGTTCAAATTTCACTTTCTCAAATAGACCCTCTATGACTATCTAAAATTGTCTTCCTCCTCCCCTCCAAGTCTCTTTCTAACTCCTCACATTTTTTTTCTTCATTATGTTTACTTTTCTGAAATTATTTTTTCATTTATTTTCCATTTTTTTTGGCTTTTCACAATGAGATTGTTGAATTCAGGGATCACTGTATCTCTATCACCTTATCATTGTCTAATTATTAGGTCCTAAAGTTTAATGGGCATTCAATTTTTAGAAAGAAAAAAAGGGAAATTAGAAGGAAATACAGAAATTGGCATTATCTGTGGAGTGGGCCAAATATATTTATATTTATTTACTTTAGAATAAAAAGACAGAGGGATAAGCCTAGTGCTAGAGCAGAACCTTGGTAAAATGGGACATAGACAAATTTGATTTCAGTTGTTCTGTTGAAAGGTACATAACTGGACTGAGAAACCTGAATGATGCCATAGTTGAGCAGCATGTTTTCAGGTAATTGGAGATGTACAATTTTTAAAAGAGAATGGAGAGGCATAAAGAGTAATGTGGTTTTGTCTGGACCCTCACTCCCCACTAGACAGGAAAAAGTTCTAATTAAGTAAAAATATCACACATTGCACGAGATGATGTAATATATATAAAGACACTATATGCCAATTTAAAAAATCCTGCAGATGTTTCTTAGAATGGAAGACAAACCCTAATGTTATTGTGTCCCACTCATCCTTGTTTTCCAAGACAGGTGGAAGGGGAGTCAATGGAAAGAGAATTAGATGAACGGTTCTTAGACATGTGTGACCAGCTCTTTGACCTTGACCGAGTCACCTACATTCCTAACTTCACCCAGAAGGTGAAGGGGGCAAACTGGATGACATACCGTAATGTTATTTATAGATCTAAAAGTCACATGATTCTACTAAACCTGTGGCAGTGCCTGGCATGTACTATACGCTCAAAATGATCTGTCAAACGTATAACGTCTTAAAATTGAATCCCAGGCTGGACATCTGGAGCTACCTATTATTAATCTTTGGTTATTTATAAAATTGGGGGGAGGGGGGGTTCCATTTCTCGCAACAAAACTCGAGAATCCGGATAGGCAGCCCCATCATTTCAGGGTCCCTGGAATCCTCAGTGCTTGGCTGGGGAGCCAGCGGTGCAGCGTCACTTGACTGTTTTGATCCCACCAACGTCTGCGGAATCCGTATCGCAACATCGCCACTCACTGCAGCCACCTGCAGCCCAGCGCGCCCCGCGGCCACACCCAGACCGGAAGTCAGGAC